GCTCGGTTCGCCTAGGTACCCCCCTAGCCCCCCTGGATAAGCAACACGGAGGATACTCCCGGATACCGGGCCGGTGGCCCGTTGGGGGAAGCCCGAGGGGGCTTCTCTGTGTCGCCCGAGTTGCCCCGCGGCGTCGTCCGCTGGAGGTTCGAGCCGGAGGTCTGGGCGCCGGGGGAACCGGTAGGCGTGTGCATTTTGGCGGTGGCGGCGGGCGGCGACGACGGCGGCGGAGGCAAGGGCTTGTGGCAGAATCGGCGAGCGCAGCGTCGATGTCGCAGTGAATGCACCAGCATGGGGCCGGCGCATCGGCGCGTCGGAAGCAAGCAGTGAATGCACCAACATGGGACCGGCGCATCGGCGCGTCGGCAGCAAGCGCTCGGCCGCGAAGACCAGCGGCTACGCGCCCTGGTACTGCTTGACGCCGGAGCGGCGCGACGCTAAGAAGCGCCGCGGACTCGTCGCCGCGGCGCCGCGCGGGCGGCGGCCGCCGGCGCGGCCGCGCGCGTCGGACGACGGCGTCGACGCCGAGTTCGCGGCGCTCCTGCGCGAGACGCCGCGCGGGCTGGCGCCCAGCGATGCCTTCGAGCCCGCGGACGTGGTCGCTCTCACGCTCGAAGCGTTGCGCCGGCCGTCGGGCGCCTCGTCGCTCGAGCGCCTCGCCGCGGCGGACTTCCGGCCCGCGGGCTGCGCGACCCTGGACGCGCTGTACGCGGCGGAGGAGGACTCGCAGTACGCGCTCCTCTTCGACGACTACGCCTACGACGTCGACGACGACGCGCTCGTGCTCGGCGACGACGCCTTCGTGAACGTGCGCCTCGAGTCCGCCGCGGGCGAGCTGCTCGTGCGCCTCGGCTGGGAGCTGCGGCGCGGCGACGACGGTGTGTGGCGGACGAGCCGCTGGCTCTGGCACGACTTCAGGCCCGACTTCCACCCCGGCGTCGGCCAGGAGGAGTGGACGCGGATCTGCGGCTAGGTAAACACGTGTGTGTGCGCGGACGTCGGCTGCGAGCCCTGCGTCAGCTGCGGGTGGCCCTACGACGACGCGGGCGGCTGCTCCGGGTCCGGCGACCGCGTCTGCTCGCCCTGCACGGAGTGCACGGCCATGGCGTACGAGGCGAGCCCCTGCGAGGCCGGCGCGGACCGCGTCTGCGTGAGCTGCGCGCGGTCGTCGGAGTGCGTCGAGCAGACGGAGCAGTGAGCGAATGTCACGCAGTGGTGGCGCCAGGCCAACTGCTGCGAGGACGACGACGTCGTCCAGGTCCCCTGCAACGAGCAGACGGAGAGCGACGTCCGCGTCGGCAAGCGCAACTCGCGCCAGCACTGGGTCTTCGACGTGCTCCCGGAGGTCGAGGAGGGCTACGAGCAGGGCGACGCGACGACGCTCCAAGGGTAGGTTCGGTGTGAGTCGAGGCCCGGGGGGGGGGGGCACTATAGGCTGGTCTTCAAGTGGCCATCCATGCGGCGCGCGGCTCGCCGTGCACATCCCCGGCCCGGCGACAGCGGCGCGTACCCGTAAAGGCGCTGCGGAAGGCCCCAA